TTGGAACAATTCACTACTTTGTATGATGCGAAACCAAAACGTTTTGGCATTAACATCTAAATTTATAAGAACTAAACATTGCACATTTCTAAATTGACTACACTACTTAAACTAGAAGCTAAAGGAAGCTAAACTCAAAGTTAAACTAGTTCAAACAGACCTTAACAACAATAAATGTTTACAGAAATAACGAATATATGTATATAATATATGTATATCAACAAGATCACCATAAAACAAAATAATCACGGCATAATATTTATTAAAAGGATTTCATATAAAAGTAACAAAAATATGAATCTTATTTAATGAATATATTATTTTTTAACAATTTATAATTTATTACGATAACTTCAGGTAAGACTATCAGGAGACACTTGTACATTGTACATAATTTAGAACTTAATAATGAATATCCTTTTTGGTCTAATCCTACATAATTTAGATTTAATTTTATTATATTACCTTAAATGGTAAAAACACAACATCAGAAATTAAAAATAACAATTACTTTATCTCATTTATAAAATCAATAACCAATTAACTCCTCTGATGTAAATTTTGAGAACTTAATTCGTATTATTTATATGTACTCGTAATGTTAAGGAATAGCAATCAGATTAAACGATATCGGCCTTATTCATAAAAATATTCTAGAAGGCTTTAATGCTTTCTCTCTTTTTACTAAATGACAAAAGAAAGAAACAGATATAGAGAGATAAATTATATATAATTTAAATAAGCGATAATTAACGATCATAAGTAAGACCACATATATTTCAATAATAAAAGCACAAAATCATGTGATATATAAAACAACGTCATGGATAGTGCATTGCAGAGAGAAATGTGATGTTATATTTCACTAAATTCGTTAATACAATTTAGTCACATTGAATGGTCTTAATTTAACCTAGATTTATATTCTATCACTGACCACAGTAACTTATAAGGAAATTTATTGCTTTATGCATAAACCTAAATGTTCTCTAATCTAACATTAATATAAACTCACACTTTTGTGACATTCCTAAATAAATAACGTTTACTTTACAACATTGGAAGACGATCAGATTTTGTTGCTTTTTTTTTTCAAATTTCTAACTTAAATATTATGCCAAAATAGTGTAACTATATTAAAACTAAATGTCGAATGACTTCTAAGTTTCCCCTGTATAAGCTATAGGGCTATATTAGTTACCAAATTAATGGCGGCTAGAGGTAAATGTTTTTAATAGTAAGAACTTTCGACTCTCCATTATGCATTCTGCAACTGGTTATACCGTATCTTATGAATGTCTAATCGATATGATATAACATAGTTTTTGCTGGGAAATATTCCGGCAAGAATCTAAACTTAAATATCTATATAACCTCAAATTTACAGTTTTTGTTTAATTGGTTAGTACAACATTTTTAGGTTTTTTGCTTTCAATGCCTGGCTTAATATGGACTTTGGAAAAATTCAAAAGTTATACTGTAGGAATATGCCGAAGATATATAATATATTATGTAAAGCCTAAACAATTAGGGTGGCGACTATTCTTAAATTATGGCGAATATATTTTTTATGGTTGTAGCATTTCTCATTTCTCTCTATAATATATTCTAGTTAAGCGATGTCTTATTCTAATTGATTACTTAGATATTATCATTATAGTCAATAAAATATTTGGTTTATTCTCTAAAACAATAACTAACAAACAGCACCTTTATCATATCACTGTGTATACATACATTCGTTGTCAATGAGAATAGTGAGAGGTAAAATATTTATTAGATAAACATATTAGATTTCTTTTAAATAATAATAAATAAATGAAATTCTATTGAAAGGAACTTTATACACGTTGACATTAAACACGGAATTAAATTATCACGTGATATTTCACATTAATTATAATTTTGAATTTTACTAAGCGTTAGGGCGAGGCAACACTATGCGTTGCAGGTTGCAGCGCGACGATATACCGCGTACATACAACTGTTAATTCAATCAAACTGTTTAGTGGAGATGTGTGCTCGTGAGATTTCATGACGATTAAACTGTTTAGTGGGTGGCGGTACGCATACAGTCGATCCAGTAATAAACACTTGTTCTCTATCGGGCGGACACATCGAAAAGTTCTATGGTCGTACTAATCCGAGGTGAATAGATAATTTCTATAAAAACTTAAAAAACGTCATCATAAGGTCTACAATTGCGTAGCGCCTGCGACGATTAAGACCGCTCAGAAATAGTGAAAATCTTAACATGCTTAAAAAAATGATTGATTTAACATAGGCCATAACATAACATAGAACATAGGCCTCCCCTATACACTGTCTCATGGGGGGAGGAGGTATTTCCCATAGTTGCAACGCTCGGCGAGCGCGGTCGCAACCGCAGTTATCTTTTAGTTATTATTGGTATATCTATAGGATTTACTCGTAGCCTACTGCAGAGAATGATACAATACAGTGGTTATGGAGTGTAGAGGTAAGGAGAAAAATCTCTCATAGGAGAATAGTGAAAGTGAAAAAGTGTCCATTTGTAAGCAATAAATAACAGTCCAAAAACTTTCCACAACAGGGCTGGGCTACAGGAAACAGCTACATGAAATGAACTTGCAGTTGTCGACGGTTTGAAGTGTGCTGTTAAACTGCTCAGTAGTTCTAAAATCTAAAGTAATTTTATTTAGTAAATATAACCCTCGAAAAAGTCGTCTATCCCACTAATATTTTTCGGCACGTTCTTTAAAATTTACCCCGTAGCTATAGTGGCGCCACCCTTATTTAACGGTTTTCTATGGACACTTTTTTAATAGACAGTCTGCACTCCTTACTTCTACACTCCATAACAGTGGTGTATACCGCGAACTCATAAGGTTATGAGTTCGAATCCGCCATTCAACTATTGCCTTTTTCATAATTTTTTAAATAATTTATTTCATTGAACAAATTTAACTAATAAATAAAATAACCACATGTCGTCTTAGTATCCACGATTTCATAACTTCAGGCTGTCTAGCGTCTATTTTACGAACCCCTAGACAGTCAAACAATTTTTGTTCGATAAAATAAACTATAGAATGAAGTAGATGGCGATATTACGAAGTAATTTTACTCGAAAAAACTTATTATAATTTATAAACACAAAAATTTGTCTAAAAATAAGGAAAAAATTTTTGTCCCATATTTCCATAAACATTTCACACGCTACTAAACAGTTGTTCGATTAAAATGCACATTTTGGTTGCGCGATACGACAGCGTACACAATATTGAGCGCATATCAATCAAAATGAGGTTTTTTTTTAATTATATAATATAATTTATCGTCTTCATGACAACATTGTAAAAAATAAAAAAATTACATTTTGCGCCAATTCATGTTAATAAATCAAAAAATATAGATCTCAACAAGGTGGATGTTGCATAGCTGTTTTACCGACGGGTCAAGAAACGGCCTAGCGACATGTTTATGGTATCCTAGATATAGTAATCCGTATCAACACATAAATCGTCTCATCATGTTGACTGATACGTTGCGGCAGCAGAGTTTAGTTTGTACTGCATTTAATGCTTCTAGTCCCAGATCTAAGACTTTTTCTTTTTTCAAAATATTTGAGCGTCTAACGCTAAATCCAATATATAGATTGCAGAGAAATTATTGCGTCGCACCGTAACCCATTGCATCGTGTGGCTTCATCTAACACGTACCTTGTTTTAATAAAATTATAACCTTTTATATTGTGTGATAGAAATATTTAAAAATTCTATCAATCAATAAATAAAATTAGATAATTTTTTATGCATTTCTAAACCAGTCTCTTAACCTCGACTCGCGATCTAAATCCGGAGTGTCAAAATATTAATGGGAGTGGTGACAGGATAATGTAATAATTTTACAATACGTTCGTAAATCTCACCTAATTCGATTTGAAATTAAGCTTGGTAGCTATATTAATCACTTGTTGCTTAGTTTGAATCAGGCCAGGTCTACAGGGTGAGAAGATTCGAGTATATTACCTTAAGTGGTAACATTAGAGACAAGCATCTGCTGAATTATATTATACTGTAAAATACCAATCTAAATATTGTAAAATTTTTATCAAATAAATAGAAAAAAAAATTAACGATTGCCAGCTAAAAAGTTTAAGAATCACTGATCTAAATAAAAACGTGAGGAGCCACAATAGCACTGGTATTCTTAGTTTATAATACCTCTAAATTAAAAGTAATGGGCATAGTCCACCTTAGAGGTTAGAATCAAGAAATTCGTAACAAATATACAAAAATAACATTTCGCTTACATAACGAAAACTTTTACCTCTTTGGATCCCTTCTGATTTTAAGTAACTAACTTCCATACTTATTAAGATATATCTGCTTAATAAGATCCATATTACTGAAATATCAACAAAGTAGAAAATATAAAATATACAACAAAAACTACAATTATAAGTTTATAAGATACAAACAATCTAAAATTTTGAAAAAACAAAATAAGAATTTCTGGCAATTTCAGTATATAATATAAACAATAAATGATTTGAATTAAATAATAAATTTTAATCTAAATTTATAATATCACTAATTGATTGTTTGAGCCGTTATTTCATTGCGCTAGTTTCATTGTGGAGGGCAAAATGGCATCTTAACCTATATACTTAATCACATTAAGTTAAAGTGGTATTTGATAAATAATAATTTGAAATTATGGCGAAGTTATCAAGCAATGCCGTCAAATAAAATAATGCGACAAAACGATAAACAAAAATATTAATTATTAGTATAAATATCGAATTAAAATAGTATAGATCATATTTCATAAAACTTACGGCATTACTTAGAAAATAAAGTTAATGCAAGGAAATATAAAAACCCTGCGAGCGTGGGATAAAAAATATACTAGTACCTATATCGCAATCAAATTTTGCGTATTACTGTTGTAGTTATTTGTTAAAATTATGCCGCCATTTCCCCCTCCAAAGTAATGTTAGGAAAGGACGTGACCTTTCAATTCACCATATAAATTGGCCACTCATGGCAAGCAGCGGGTGGCGGTATAGGTATAGGAGAACCTCCTCCCACTGACACCACCTCTGGTATCTGAAAAGAAGATAATTATAGAATAAGTGCGAGCTCACAGTCCACATTAAAGTGGATGCTGTAGCCCATAAACGTCTACAACTACCTTCGATGAAGAATGAAAATGCAGAAGCGTTGTCACCCCTGAGGAACTCCAAGCTTCGCTTAGCGCCAAGAAACAATAAGAACACAGCAGCATTACTGTTGTTTCACGTACTATGTGAGAGCGTGGTCCCTCCCCGGTTGAACCGTGCTATTCGTGCTGCAGCCATATACAACTGCAGAGGGGCTCTACCAATTAATAAATTATCTATGTTACTGAAGATGTTGGTAATGGTGAGTGGCGTGGTACTTCCCTACCCCAACTCTCTCCCGTAGCTCAGCCGAGGGAAGCCCGGTCGATGGAGCCACGCGGGGCTCCTACTTCTGAGTGTTTTATAAAAAAATAACCAGGAAGGAGATGGTGAGTATATTCGCTCGCTCACTCGACACCCCCATCTCATTCTAACCTAACCTGTCCGAGTCGGGATGCCCTAAGTCCCGAGCTCGCTTCGCCCGATTTTACACTCAACAAAACACCAAAATAAAAAAATTTATAAACAAACACTTTTCAATGTTTTTTTTAAATGTTTGTTTTTGTGTGTAGATTATAATTTTTTTTATTACAACTTCATTCGATTATTTGTAAAAAAGTTACCAACAATTATAATTGAATGAGTGCATTTTCATGAGCATTTAAAGCCGTGAAACCAAAATAAGTTTTAAGTTTTTTTATTCCTGTATTTTTTTTCGTAAATCCGCCGTAAAAACGAAGATTTAAAAAAAATCATCGAAATCGGATGATGTTTCGATTTTCTATAATTATCAAGATAAATATAAAATTACCAAGATGTTAAATTTAATTTTTAGCTTCCACTGAAATGCAACGTCATTATAATGTATGTTTACTGAGCCTTTACTGTGTACTCCATCATCATTTACAGGCCTTCCACATTCTCTGCTGAACATAGTCCTTCCGAGGAATGCTGAGTCACCTGCATCCATTGACTACCTGCATATCTCACCAGGTCGCCACCGCCTCGTTGGTCTAGTCGTTGCAGTAGTGTAACTGCTGATCATGAGGTCCTGGGTTCGAATCCCGGGTCGGGCCAAAAAAAATAATTATTGAGTTTTTCTGTCAATAAATTCTCAGTAGCTGCCCGGAGTCAGGAAGTTGGCGGTGTCTCACCCCCGTGCCTCGAAAAGCACGTAAAGTCGTTGGTCCTGCGCCTGACCTCTCACCGGTCGTGTCGGTTTATTGTTCCATCGGATTATGAAAGTGAGGGAATAGAGAGTGCACCTGTGTTTGCGCAGACACTTGGGCACTATAATCCTGTCCTGCGCCGATGGCTAGCCCGACGTGGCCGAAATTCGGTCTGGAGGACGTTATCTCACCAGGTCGCCGCCGCATCTAGCGGGAGGCCGTCCCTTCATTTCGTTTACCGGGAAAATCTTTCTTCATTGTCCGTTGTCGGTTTTTCGAGCTATATGGCCAAGTTAGTGTCACTTTAGCTTATCGATCCGTTGGGCTATGTCGGTTACTTGGATATCATCGTTACGGATTTCATTACGTAGAGAAACTCCAAGCACTATTGCTCTCTCCATAACACGCTGAGCGAATCATAATACGGTCAATAATGAAGGACCATATTTCAACTACATATACTATCACTAGCGGACAATACGCACGGGGTGTACATTCTTACTATCAAGTTTAAAATAATACGTGACGAGAACGTGTTGTAATCTTCCAAACCCAAACGCTGGCCCAAGCGAGTTGGATTCGCCGACTAACCTTTCAGTTTAAGTTGAACTTGCCTAGTCGGACAATTTGTCTAAGGTAAACATACTCGTCAACAACTTCAAGATTACTGTGTTCTATTTACTTTCTGCGATGACCCTTAGATATCAGGATAGCTTTAGTTTCTTAAATTGAAGTTAGAAAGCAGTATGCTATATTGCTTTCTAATTTCCATCAAAATGTTATTACAAACCATAGTTTGAGGATGATGAGGTGGATGATAATAATGTGCTGGTGAGACAGGTGGAGTTGGGTATCCCCAGTAGACCAAAGGCGGCAGCGTTGGTCCCATTGCTGGGTAGTAGTATGTAACTGGACCTAGAGATAAACAATAAATTAATGGAACGATTGAATACATTTAATATATCATTGAAACTTATCTAGCGATCATGTATATTTTGGTAAACAATAATTGACGCTTCAGCGGGATATAGTTAGTCTACTATTTTAAAAATCTGATAATGTTAGGTCTCTTTTAAGATGCATGAATGCTATAGAATGTAAATAACGCTCAAGTCCAAATTGATTCATGCAGTTTGTTAGTCACATTTTAATACTACCTCATACAATTTAATATAAAGTGTTTTGTATTTTTAAAGGCATCAGACGGTATTATTTGTTAGAATTATTTATTAAAACATATTTTTGTGCATACACATATTAATTGTTAAATAAACCAATAAATTTACTCAAATACTTTGATGGCACCAAATAATGATTGGTTATATATTTCTCTCTTGAACCCCAAATTTCCCTTGTGCCCTGTATATAATAACAATCCCATAAACGTTGGTAAACGCGTTATATCAAAGTTTGGTAAATTTCGAAAATGTTTGACTGAATCAAAATATATAAGGTAATAATTGTATGCTTTTCTGTGTCATTTTATTTATTATAAATAAATAGATTCATCAAGACATTTTCTGGACCGACGATACAAACAGACGTACGTACACAAATAATGAAAGATATTATATGTAATTAAAATAATGATAAACACTCACCAGGGTCTCAGAACGCATTAACAGTCCACCAAAGCAGTGCGCAACTTACACCAATACTCTGATATTGTTTGTTACACACGCCGCTGTTGCCGCCAACCACCAAGCTAGTCTGCGGACTTTACCAAACTTATGCTGGCCTAGTACCCTAGTGTATTTTGCACCGCTCATTGCGATCTCAACTTTAAAAGAAAATGTCATTTTTCAACGAACACCACTGTTATCCGATAAATCAGTTTCTCGATTATAAGGTTGTTTATGTCATAATGTTTAACAGAAAACAAATTGTAGTTTCTCCGAAATTAAAATGGGAACTAAACAAAAGATAAAGCAATACCCATAAGATTATATATATATATATTTTTTTTTTTTTTTTTTTTTTTTTTTTTTTTGCATTGGGGTAAGATCGGTGATGGGGTAAGACCGTAAAATTCAAATTTCCGGTGAATAATGCTATATTTTTGAAAGCTAGCAATATGGTACAAGACTTCATTTTAGTCGCTACGAAAAGTAGGGCGTGTGCTGCGCAATATTTTATAAAACAAGGTAATTTTTGAATTTTTTCGTCTGTCCGGTCTTTCCCTATCACTTTTATTTGCGATTTTTAGCGACGTCCGGTCTTCCCCTTCTCTCTTCTTTATCATGCATATAAAAAATTATGCCTTGTCTTCGCACACGTTTTAAGCAGAAACTGTTGAGTTTTGAAAAGTAAAAGCTTCTTATAGCTAAATTAAGTGTAACCATTAACGATTTGCGCCATGTTTCAGAAATCTGACGTATATGGATGTCGAGAAAATAAAGTTTTTGTCAGACTCTTTTAACTAGTCGAAAATCCGTCCGGTATTGCCCCAACGCACCTTAATTGTGTTCTGTGACGACTTGATAACTTATTTTATCAACAGGATTTATTTTACAATTGTTCTTGCATTATAAAACATTGAACAGGTCATTGATATAAATCTAAAGATGCAAATGAGTGTCAGTCAGAAAGAACGCAAAGGCCGAATTGCGCTGACGTTTATTGTAGCTTCCAAAGAAGATCGTATGGGCCAAATGTCTTTGTTTTATTTTATGAATCACTTACCAAAACTTTTTGTAACTCAAACTTTCAATATTACTAATATAAAAGAACTTAAAACCGTTAAATAAGGACATCCACGACTTTTTCTGACACCAGGGCAGGTTAATTAGTAAAGAAGATATAAGGGATAATGTTTCTTTTTGAAATATTAGTTATCTTTCTATACCGATTAGATTAGGAATCGATAAACTAAATTGAATGATTAATGTGTTAAAAATTTGAAAATATTGTCTGTCAACAACCACTTGTTTAGTGTATTTGCGTACTCTAGAAAGCGATAAACTTTTATTTAAATACTTCTCAATTATAATAACAACATTGTAACTTCAGGCCCAGAAGAGCTGGAACCCAGAGCCGTAAAGCCAGTTAATAAAAAATAATAACAAATAACTTCACCTCAGTCCCAACTAGCGACATCTGGTGAGCGGAAAATTATTAGCCCTCATTATACTTTAGTAACCCACATATGGGTCATTGCAATTGTCTTATTATTGTGTCTGCAAATTGAACAGGGAAAGTGTTAAGTTTGATTTTACTAAAAAAGTAAGAAAAAACATCGATTTTTTTATAATCGAATCGACTAAACCACGAAGTTGAGATCGCAATAATGTTCAAGGATAAGAAGAAGTATTATATTTCACGTGATCCCACAACAAATGATAGGTAATACTTACGCACCTCCATGTTACATTGATGATTACTTGGTAACACTAGACATTCAACTACACCCACTAATAGGGCGTTTAAACCTTGCACCCATGAACTCATTAATTATTTCTAAAGCACAAAATTTTTTGTCTACAACACACTTAAGCGCTGAAATTTATCCCATTGTATAAGATTGTAGTCTCTATGTAACACTGTCACCGGATATTCCATGCATTTTGAAGCAGAACTTAATGTAAGAAATATAAGGATGGGGCAGAGCGAGTAAATTTATAGTACATGTGTATTCCGAAAACTTGATTGTTAATAATAAGTAAACATATAACAGTAAAAGACTATGTTGAATACCGTGATAACGATGAAATAAGATGTTCGTAAGTTCATAGATGTTAACTCATGATGGCGGGTTGATCTTAATTGGGCGTGTAGGTGCACATGCACATTGTTTTTGTGTGTGTGAACTCGGGAACGCTCGGTATACCGAGCGCCTGTTTCGTGCCAAAATTTAGCATTGAGTACCATCAGTATGGAAAGTATACGTTAGAAATTGTGAGGTATGTAAATTAATCTTTATACGTATTTACATATAAGCCGTAGTGCGTTAAGAGTTTAATTAAACGTGATTACGTGATTTATACGTGATTCTATTTATGTTTGGTTTAAATAGACTCGTCAAGTATTACAAGTATGTATCAATGTTTTAAGACGATATTTGAATTCACATTAAGTCATTAATTTGCAAGATGATAGTGACAATGAAACTGACAGGTAGGACGAGTCTAGTCATGATTCCAGTTAATTTTTTTAATGTTTTAATACACAAATATTTTTATTTGTATTATCTATATGATGTGTGTAAATAAATATTGAACACAAAAGGAGCACAATATATTTCGTTATTATTTCGTTCAATAAATATGAACTTGCTAACTCTACAGATAGAACAGAATTACAAGTATTGCTAACCCGCCTTCGTGAGTTAAAACATCTATTCGTTTTAAAGAAATCACTTTATGCGATATCAAATACTTTCTATCACTTTTACTTTTCCAATAAAGTGCAATACTTATTATAGATGTATATTTTAGCATCCCTATAAGATACTATATACAAATATCATTAAAGTAGCCACTGATTTCAATTTCCTTTGAGTGCACGTTAATGGAAAGCGATGATTTTTTATGTAGTTAACAAGTATCAAAATTACTAGTACCTATGCTCTGCCCAATCCCAATGTAATGGATCCAAATGAAGCTTAAAATTGTGCTTTTTGTGAAGAGACCGTTCCATTTTCACCACTTGTGTTGTATCCCATATTTAAATACGATAATTAAGAAACCCTTCATTTATTACCATTTCTGGTTTACCTGATAATATGTGCTACACGTACACATTAGTTAAAGCTATGTTAGGAGGCGGGAACAGGACATGATTGTGCCATTTGTATATTGCATTAATGTATTGAATGTAGCCTTGTGAAGGAAAGTTGTTTTATTTTTGTTGTTTTGATATGGTAATAAAGTGCCATCATTTTGTGAGTTCATAGCTGTAGCAAACTTACTAGACTAACTTAACGTTTTTTTATAGAGGAGGGGGCAAACGAGCATGCGGCTCACCTGATTGTAAGTGACTACCGCCGCCCATGATCAACCACAACACCAGGGGAATTGCAGGTTCGCTGCCGGCCTTTTAGAAAGGAGTAAGCTATTTTCTTGAAGTTCCTTAAGTCGTATCGGTCCGGAAAAGTCGCCGGTGGTAAGCAATTCCACAAAGAGCTTGTACGAGGAAGAAAACTTCTAGTAAAACGCACAGTGGTAGACCTTGGTGGTCTATGTGTGGTGTGTGGCATCCAGATGGTGAGGATGGTATTGCCGAATTTTGATGCGATGTGCGTTCGTGAAATTTGGCGGCTGGAACTAATCCGAACAATCCCTCAGAGCACTTCCCATGGTAGATACGATAACGATTAACTCAGTCTGGTGTGTGAATAGGAAATAAATATTAACAAACTATTTATTCCTTTGATTAAAAACGCACGGTGTAAAAAAATGTTTTAAAATATCAATCTTGCGTTTGATATGGAATATAGGTTTTCTTTCAGAACAAAATTATTTATTAAATTTTTTTAGAAAGGATATTTTTTATTATCATCTTATTAAATTATGTGAAGCCATCATGTACCAATCAATTCAATATTATTTGCAGCTGTAATGTAGTGGAAAAAATTTGGTTATGATTAAATTTTAGCTTCAGTACTAATCTTATTTTAATCATATAGTAAATAATTTTATGTAGCATTGTATGCATATGTAGACTTTTGATTGTTTAAATTTGCCTTTTTAATATTTTTATCGGTAAAACCTTCGTGAAATATGTAATAAGTAACAAGTATGCAATATGTGATGTTAATATATGCATATATGTATTTACAGTATAGTTTACTCCGTGCATTTACATACTAAAAACTGAGTGTAGTGCTGTGTTTGTATGAAATTGTGATAGGTATTAAGTTAGTAAACATTGAGATATAAATAAGGCAAGCCATATGTAGTTTTGTTGCACCGGCACCCCTCCTTCACAAGTATATTATAAACAAAATCAGCTTTTTCTACGTTAATCAAATATATAAATAGCACAATCAACCACAAACCAGAGAAACTCGCAATAATTATGTTCTAACACGGAAACGTATCGATTTATTATTTACTCAATAAACTTTAATTAGGCAACTAAAATAACTATGATAAAAAAACTCATTACTAACCTAAAAAGTTATTAAAACATAGAGTCCTAATAGATTGTCTTAGTTCTATTATAAATTTTGATTGTAATTCATTAACCTCATATATATAAAATATGTTCTATTGAAGATTTTAGTTTCAGGAATTGCCAAAAATGCCTATTTTTATGATGTGTCCAAAATGGCAAAAATATTGTTATGGCATCATAGCTAAATCATAGCTAAAACTCCGTTGTAAATAAATTCGAAAAATAGGTAATCGTATTTTGTTCATAATGTAGATTGATTGGCATTTTTTGCCATTCCAAAATTTATGACACATTTGATTTTAGATATAAATGTACTAAGCGCTATCCTCACACCACCGCCCCCCAGTCACTACACTATATTTGAGATATTTTAAAAAGTGCGACTCCCAGTTATTATATAAAGGTAGACTTTAAGACCCACTCGTATATATTTTCATTCGTAACGAAAGAAAACATTTTTGCATGCGCTAATAATTAAGATATCCCATAGACAGTGATTATTAAATTAAGAATTAAGCATATAAAGAGAAGACTTAAACAGCAGAAAATAGAAGAAGCTGTGATAGAAGTTGATAATATGTAAATGACTGGAGGGTATGCGATAACTGGAGGGGTTGGGGCATCTGAGAACGAGACAATTATATTTGAAGCAAACGGGGTGAATCCTCGGTTCAGTTGACAATTTACGCCTGACAAGGGCAAACAAAAAGTTTCTTCGGCCATTTAATTGATAAAATACTAAATTAATAAATAAATATTAAAATATTTTACCAGATTTTGATATTTTAAAGGTAAATTTAAAAGATATATGACGGAAGAATCCTCATTAACTGCCTCACAAAACCATAGTACCAAAGTAATAAAGCTCTTTACCGTGTACAATTTGTATTAAACATAAACATACAGCTAGGCTGCAAATACGGTATCCGGCCGCGCTGGTCTACGAAAATGTTCCACTGCGCACATAAAAATTGAACAGTGGTTACTGAATTCATGCAACTTCATAAAAAGCGCTCCATGCCAAACCCATATATTGTACTCGGTAATAATATTATAGTAGTTCTCTAAATAAAAAAGAAAGTGCAACACTTACCATAGGCTAATTTTACCACATTAAAGCACATTTTCCATAAACACAACCCGTTCGGATACATCATATTACATTCGATTATATTAATAAACACAATATTGCATTGTAAACTAGACTAGAGCTTGTTATAACTTTGACAGATAAGAAATCTATTGTCAAAATTACAACTTTATTGTATTAAATAAATGACAGAACAAAAGATTAGCCATTACACCATGTACTAGTGACTGAAGCCCCCCATACCTGTATTTATGAATATCCAGACAATGGCGACACCGTAAACAATGACGTTAACTTTGTCTCTCTCTAAAGAACCGTTATAAAGCTCAAATACTTTAGCGCATTTTAAAACATCTTGTAATGAACAATATTTGCGATTAACTTGTAAAGAAAGTTGTATTGCTGACTATACTAATATTAAACACTCGCTACCCGCGTTGCCATAAATCGTTTATGCGCTTTACTTATCGATAACTGCTTATTGATTCGTAAAAGGATGAAGAATAGTGTGTGCTGGCACGCCGTAAATTATTAATAATTGCGGGTATTTTAAAAATTACTCTGCAAGGGTACTTTAATAATTATTAATTACGTTTAGAGGGTACAAATAACAGTTTGAATATGCTTCTATAGTCAAAAAAATTTGGAAGTTGCTGTTTATTGATTTAACGTAAATTAAAAATGTATTAAACATAAGTTACAATGGTTATTTTTGACCAACAATAAATGTAATTATTGAATAGTTTTCTTTTTGTTTTGCATTCTTTACTTTTTCATAATACGCAAATCGACACGACAGTAGTGCGTCACTATGCGTGCCGTACGTAGACAGAGAAACCTATAGACAAATTGACGCCTTCTTTCGCATTCGCACACGAAAAAGATAGATTTATGCATACGTCTTGCATAGAGATGAGACAGAGCGGTGTGATTGTTTGTCCCTTTCTCCGTGCTCCGTTTTTTTTGTTTAGCAAACTACACTTTGCTAAACAACTTACAGTTCGTAGCGATCTAAGGAGCTTACAAGTTGGTTTAAGTGAGAAAATAGTGTTTTAAGAGCTTAAGATTGGTTAATCTTGTTCAGTTAAATCTTATAACAATAAATTGTTTAATTAAAATATGTTTAAAAGTCATAAAGGTTATTGTATAACCTAAAACTAAGTTATCGTCCTTTCTAACTCGAGGCCACGCTAATCATTAGTCTATTGGTTTCTCTGTCTACGTTGCCGTAAGACGCGTAAGTGCGACAGAGAGCGCAACAGACGGCGTCCTGTTTCCTCATTCTATTGCACTGCGGACAGCGTGTGTTTAACAAAAGTATATTGCATAATAAGCACGCTAATTAAAACAATAGTCGACATTTTGTTGAGACTCTTTCAATCGAACTAAGTTCAAAAATGTGCCAAACTCTAGTGAGCTGAATAGTTAATACCGATACTACTACTTTATTATATGGTGTGAGGTAACGCAGACAATGAAATAGATGATTGCATTTAGATTGTTAGAAGTGAGTAATAAACACATCGAACTGGTTTCGAGTTGGACAGGGAAAGGATCGTGGAAGACAGAGATTTAAGAAGTCCAAATTCATTTGTCTTGATTACATAAATCTCGTCATTTTAAACGCGTGGTAGAATGGACTCCAATGATGCCAACCAATAAATTGAAAAAAAAAACTGCGTATAATAACATCTTTAACACACGCAAATACCTAAAAATAATTCATATTACACGTAATTACCACAAACAACAAACTCGCTATAAAAACTAATCTAAAAACAAAAAAAAGTGTATAGTAAACGCAAAAAGTGCATTGTACTCCAAAATCGATTTAAGTATCTAAGTAAATATGATCCACATGGGAATAACATTAATAAGTACCTAATGTTTTCTCTCAGACTTTGTATCAGCCTTGAAGCGATTGGCAAACGATTTGTCTTTTTCAATGGAATGTCTTAATAAAAAATCACACTAAAATTCTTACGAAATATTAAAAGTAACAAACCTAATTAATTGTCAATAACAACCTCTGATTCACTTAATATTTACTTTAGAAATATAATTACAGCTTAACAACGTTAAAAGTCAGCGTAAATTTAACAATAAAAGATTTTAATGGACCTAACCTATTTCTAGCTGCAACATTTAACTGCCGATTATATATTATAGCTATAGTAAATTCATATATATATATATATTTGTGTCAAATACTTCTCGTATTTGAAGAAGGCACATTATGTCAACCGATAAACTGGACGACTTGATTTAGTTTTTTGAGCTTGTCATTTTAATTACCCTGTTAAAACATTTATTAGGCAGTCTTAGTAAAATCATCTAAAATTCATTTATTTATTAAATATGTATATATGCTTACAACGCACTTAAGTTCATATATTGACTGCTACATAATATAAAAGTAAACGAGAACATTTTGTAGAAATTAAAAGGACGTGAATTTTTACATCTATCAATGATCAAGGCGCATATCTACAAAAAGGCGCGCGTACGTTTTCAAAGTCGAACCGTTTTAGACGCCGGGATAGTATTGATAAGTAGGGAACATAGATAACGTAGCCGGGAAGGGGGACGTCATTGACGGTGGGAGGGCGGCCGAGAGGGCCGTACCGTAACCGCTCGGGAGGGCCGTCGGTATTGCTGTGGGCAGGGCGTTCGCGTAAGACAACATCGGACTGGTGTTCGCATATGAAAAAATTGGCGCTGAAGTACCATAAGAGAATACGGGCAACGATAGCGGTGCCATTTGCGGCGGTACGGAGTAGGGCCGTTTAGCGGGTGTCGTATCCGTTTGACTGAAGGCGCGTTCGTAAGTCCGTTTGGTTGGGAGCATTGTCTGCTGTGGCAGGATGGGCAGGGAGTAAGTGGGCGCGGTCTGCGGGCGCGGGTAGGACAGGATGGGCAGCATGGGCGGGCGCAGCGAGGCCAGCAGCAGGTTCTCGTGCTGGCGCGCCAGCAGGCTCTGCTGTGCGATGTGGTGCGCCAGCAGGCGCGGCCCCCCGCCCGGGGGGGACACCAACGTACCAGGGGACAGCACCTTCGGGGACGTGGCGGGCGTCACGCCACCGGTCAGCACCAGGTTCATATCATCGCCCGAGCACTGGAACACCTGGGGGGAAACTCCTTGTTGCATTCCGTCGTTTATGCATCCAATCCCTAGTAGACTATGATCAACAATATACTAGATGGGTTATTCCGTTTATCCACCCTAAGAAATCCACCCTAGGGTGGAATCTCGAAAACGCGTAATCGTTTATCCACCCTAGACGGGGTGGATAATCGGAATTCACTTTTTGATTGTTGTTCCGCCTTTCTTTAACATATTATTGATTCATTTTCATTTTTAATTTTAATAACCACAAACTTAAACAAAAATTATATTACGTATTGCATTTAAACCAAATTAAACTTCATTGTTTTAAATAATAGTAATTTATAAATTCTGCAATATGTACAGGAAATGATCAACACTAATTTCATTATTGAGTAGACCATAATTATATATCCTTCATAGACTTATAATACTACATATCCTCTATATATTCGTCACTTAACAAAAGACATTCGAAAATTTGTTAAGTACCCTACTATTTACAATACTGTGTATAATTAACAATATATCTATTTAATTTGAATACCTACTTCAATAAAATACCATTGAAATTAATTGCAGTAAAACATTTCTTCATTCTTAAGGTATCTATAATGACGTAAATTATGTCACATCGAATGATATGTAATTGAACAATTAAAAGTATTTCAGTTTTGACCTTTAAATAAGAAGTCTGCATGTATTTTTACAAGTATGCTATTGTTTACTAAGTAATCTTGGCCAGTTTCTATCATATTTTTGTAAACGACTGTGCGCACCCGAGGGGGAAGATCGGTAGAAAAATAACATACGTATTCCGATTATGCATCCCATCGGGCGTGGATAAATGAACACGCGATTCCGAGTATCCACTAGGGTAGATTTCTTAGGGTGGATAAACAGAATCACCTACTAGATAACGGAAAACAGAATTAATTATGGCTGTAAAAATAATTGCCAAACGAGAAATTTGACAATATTTTTTTATAAAAACAAGTCATATCGTTTTACTTACAAATTAGTCATGAATGATGTAAAAACGATGTCACCAAATGAAAATCGTACATATGATAAAAATTATCACATTATAAATAAACAGTTATACATAAATCAACCTTATTTCACAGATAATACAAATTACCTGATCAATAGTAAGACCACATGGTGTTTTTGATATTGTACAGATTTATCGAGCCACATTTTAAGTACTGACCCGTTCTTATACAGGTTGTTAGTTTAAATACCGTTATCCTTGAAAACAATATCACACATATCACAGGTTATGTGTACCATAACCTGTGATGTAACTTTTCCTTCATACTTTAATCCTGGCTTAGGACAGGCAAAAATTGAGGAATTAAGGAAAAATTGAGATTTTAATACAAAAATGTTGTTATTTTTCATTGAATTTACGTTCTATAAGTGAAACCAAACCACTAGTTTCAAGGATAACGGTGTTTACACTAACCCCCTGTATACAGTTGAATGCCTAACAGTAATCGCCCAGACCAACAAAGAAAGCCATGCTCAACTTCTTAACACGCCCTCACGCACACATCTTTCTTCTTTCTTTCCTTAACAGCCCGTATATGTTCACACCTGAACGCACACACACATTTTTTTTATCATAAACCATGTTGTTGATTATTGTAAATGTTTTTAGACGCATATGTGTACGTGAGTTCGTATTATTAGAACCGAGCATGATTTTGGCTTGGTTTTCACGTCACCAGTAATCGCAGCACTCCATATATCTTTCTTTGTAGGTATCAATTAAATATTTATAAGTTTAGTAGAATATCAGGCTACCTACATTATGAGCTTTCGTTTAGTCAGAAGTTAGTTTTTACGGGGTACAGCTACGCTGCAGGTATGCTAGCTATACATAGCTACAACACGAATGACGTACAACGACCCATTCGTACAGCAAACATGATATCGCCACCGCGAGTCTCTACTATGTTAAAAATATGTTGAGTTAGTAGCATTATTATAAAATCTATCGCAAAGTACCTCAATATACCGCTGCTTCTTGCCGAAGGTCATGTAGCGGTGATGCTTCTGTTGCGCACAGAGGTAGGCGCTGGTTTCACTGTCCATTTGAATGAACGCTTCACCGCTAGGATGGCCCTATGTGATACAAGTAAAAAAACGGTTAAAAGTAAAGTAAAGTTACAGCCTATATACGTCCCACTGCTGGGCATAGGCCTCCCCTCATTTCTGAGAGGGTTTTAGCAAGAAAATGTCCGCCGCGCTGCCCCAATGCGTGTTGGCGAACTTCACATGTCTCTCGAAATATTTTTTTCCTTATTCCTCAGGCATGCAGGTTTCCTCACGATGTTTTCCTTCTCCGACGAGCACGTGGTAAATCAGCACTTAAAATTGCAATTAACAATTTCATTGGTGCCGGCGGGGATCGAACCTGGGTTACTCGCGTTCTGTTATATTTACAGCGAGTGTTAACCATCTGAGCTACCACGGCTCTATACAAAAAAAAACGGTTAAGTTTATTTGTATTTAATAATTTGAATACATTTAATTTGGGCCTCACTCATTGGATTTGCCGTCTCGATCAAATCGACTCCAGTGGCCGGAATCGACTCTAGCAATCGGAATCGCCTTCCGGACGCCTTCAACATAACTTGTAACCTTAAGCCTATTCTATTTGAATGTAATTGTAATTTATACTCGTGAATGGCAACATGGTAGAAGAAAATGGTATTATAATTAAGATATTTAAAATATTGAACGTACCTGAGCATTGTATACCATGTGGACGCCTTGTACAACAATGTTCTTTGCGAACTCGTCCAAGAATGTCAAAATGTGCTCCACCTGTTGCCAACATTACGGTTTAAAGTTTTAATATTAAGTTTATTGAACAATTTTCTCGAAATTTATCGTTTTATCCTTAGCTCTTGCTTGTAAAATAATTTGAACTGCATAATGCAATAAATAGGACACAGATAAGAAAGCGAGTGATCATTTCAATAATATATAATATGAACATCAAGTAAATCTTCTACAATTTAACACACTCAAAATAACATTTTACTTTTCATAAGATACAATTTTTTATATAGAACAAGGGTGATAAACGAGCACACAGTCTACCTGATGGGTAATGGATGCTGGGGCCCATAGACATCTACATCTATCCTCTATTAAGAACCAAGATGCAGATGCGTTGTCACCCCTGAGAACTAAGATGGAATGCCTCGTTTCCAGTAAAAAGGGTTTCCAGCTCTTTACACTCACCTCACGAAACACAGCAGCATTAAGCTGCTATTTTACGCTGGTATTCTGTGAGAGTGTGGTCCTTCCCCGGTCGAGCCGACCCATTCGTGCTACAACCATAATATAGCTGTAGGGTGGCTCTACCGTACGTTTAAAAATTTGAAAAATTTGAAGCAGTGGTTCAGGAGTGTCTGTTATCAAAGTCAAAGTCAAAATACTTATAAAGGCCCGTGATGTTGATGAAGATATTACATATTACATATTATACTGATTATTAAAAGGTATACCAAGTTAGATTATACCAAACTTTTGATCCCCTAAGATGAATAATTAAGGAGGATAAAGAATAACAGTCTGAAACTAAGTGATCGTCATAATAGAACCTCATTTCATACCTGGGCTTCATAAGGTAATCCGCGCAGTCTCACACAGTCCTTAGCCGTGCCGGAAGTGATGACGTGTTGCGGTACCAGTGCTACCGGAAGTATTCCCTCAGCAGGTGCGCTTGCTGTTGACGGTGTACTGGCTGTACTGGTGCGCGTCTCTAGGGACCGGTTCAAAACCTGAGCAAGAAGAGATTTTTTTAAGAGAAGTTGGTTGAGGTGGTTGAGAAATTGTCGGGTGAAATGTACAGAACAACAATTAAGTAGACAGTGACAGTATTATTTGGCTTCAATCTTACATTAAAATTATAAGAAATCACCAGGGCTACGTTTCTTAAATGTCTGTTGCTTTATTACTCTATGTTTAGCGGGAAATCAAACTTATATGTAACACGAAAGTTATGATATAATTTTGAATGATGATGAGAAATACATAGCAGTAAATATAGTGCATATCTAACAATGTTTGCAAGAAAAATTGTAAATGTTTATTAGAAAAATAATACCAAAAATAATAAACATTATGTTTATGAGCTAAAATGTCAGTGGACACGATATAAAATTTCTTTACTCAACAACTCACCATTTACTCACAAGGGCAGGCTGCGGACATAAGAGGTGTAATTTATTCGGAATCGTTTTAAATTGCCAGGTAGTCCAGGTAGTTTCTCACAACAGCAAGAGCTATTCATTTTTTTTTCAATTAATGTCCGTGTGTTTACGATGCGCATGTATTAAATAGATATAAATAATACATAAATTTAAAAGCAATATCGCTAGTACGAGTTATTACTATTAACTACAATTTTGTTTCTTAAATATTAAATGAAATACATTTAAAATATGTAATAATTATGAAGCAATACACGCGTTTTTATTTAATATGTGGTGAGACCGTTTTCCTCTTATCTATATCTGCTGCCAAATGGCAGCGAATGCACTGCTCTGTTCCGCTTCGGAAGGTATAGAGGGCTGTATAAGTACAGATTGTGAGGCATATCATCATACCATCACAGTCCTCAGTTTTTTTTTAGTTGATTACAGGGACCCATGGGTAGTCCATGGTGGAGTAGCTACTTACCATCAGGTAGACTGTTAGCTTGTCTGTTTATGTATAGTTTAACATTATTATGAATACTGATGCATTTGATATATGATTTTATGTAATGATTTATAATTTTAATATTAGAATTAACTTGATGAATGTAATATTACCCAATTCCATGTTGGTCGAAATAAATAAATAAAATATAAATATTTCTTGAGGCCATTCAAATCTGTTTCTAATATACCTTTTGTCAACAATTTTGTCTGCATTATGTAAGCTATTTCACTATTGATATTATAATTATGTTTACTACAATGGGAACTATAGTTTTGCGTGTAGGTTTCTGGTATATTGTACATATAGTATCGAAATTTCACTGATATCACGTTTTCAATAAAAAATAGGGTATTTGGGAAAGAAGTGTATGAATATCATAACAAGGGTAAATAAATACAAATATATTACTTGATTAGTAAAGTAATATTTTCATTTCTTTTGGTCGTTTCGGGTGAGATATCTGATACTGAGATAGACAAATGTGGCGATTTAGACAAAGGACACATGAAAGATGAATGGAAAAGCGTCATCTCCAACAGTGGTTTGGATTCTGAGATGTAGAGAAAGACGTTTAAACTAAAGGTACAAAAGGTCGGGTGGACTTAATATCTTTTCTTTTTTCATTAAGTTATTATCTTTCTTTTCATTTACTCTTCACCCTGAGTAAATAAAAAATATGTGGCAGGTGCTAAAAATATTTAACTAAAGCAAAATTTGATAACTAGATAAAAGGTCATATAAAATATAAAGGGGTTTTAAATTTATCCACTATTACAACAAGTCTATCAGTAAACAAAATATGAAGCCCTAGCACAAGGAAAGGTTAAGTTATACAACAATCTAAGGCAAGTACAGTTATTACGTGATTTTACTGCTACAGATAACATTGTTTCCTGAGCACGAAACTCGGCTATAATAATAAATATATCACACGCTGTACCCAGGTATATGCCTATTTGTATTTTTATTTTGTTTATGACATTGAATGTATGTCATTTATGATTATTCTTTAGTAAGGAACGGGTGGTGAGTTTTTGAAATTATAAAAAGCATTTAAAAGGCAGGGTAATTTGAATGTGATCACGTTTATCATTGTATTGTCTTGAATATTATGTTTTTCGGTGGTAGAGTACAAACGATAAAAGTGACGCACACACTAAGCACTTGTCATTTATCAGTTGAAAAAATGACTTTACCTATAGAGAATAATAGTGGGTGGCACTATTACAAAGCAATTTCATAAAGGTTTCACTTCCACCGCGTGTGAACTGCAAACATGTTTTTTTTTTCGCAAATATTACTATCATTATAATATGTACAAAAGAAACATCCAATTTCGTAGTGTTCCTTATATTATGTACAATAATATATCATCACCATCACCATTATATCCTATCAAAAGTCCATTGGCATTGAACATCGGCCTCCCATACAAATTGCGTATAGTGGGGGAATACTTGCCACAGTTGCCTCGCTTGTCAGAAGGGTTAGCAACACAGTTTTTATTAAACTTTGAGTATTTAAAAGAAAGAAAGAAACAAATAAAGATATTTATTTGGCCATTTCTTAACAAATTAGTAGTAATGCAACGAATACTACTTTTACGAATACGAATTACGAATATCAATTACTATTCGGCGAATACGAATACGAATATCTCGCTATGGTAATGAAAAACTAATTTATTTAATGAGTTTCTATTGTTCTAATAATTAAAATTTACAACATGCAATATTTTATTTAAAAAACATAAAATTTGTAGATTTTCCGGTGTGGCGCGACTTCTATGACGATGATGAAGCTTGAAGTTTCCGAAGGTAGTTAGTTGCGTGTTCAGATCACGTCGGGGTCACCACTGTGGCCGTGAAGGAAAAGGGGAGATCTCCCGCCGGTCAAGGTGTTCTGCCCGGGGAGCGGCTGACACTCCGTGTGATATTTCGGAGATGTTCTATATATACTGTTTATGATTCGGAATGTTGATAGCGTGATTCAGGCTTCGGTGTGTTTCGCTTGTGGCGCGACGACAGCGCTGCCACACCGATTTTAGGCGACTTATTTTTTCAGCCTGGATGTTCCCAGCCGTTGAGAAAAGCCTTTCCGAGGTGACTGTACATGATTTCAGTGAAAAATATTTTTGGGCGAGTTTTTTCAGCCTTGGAAAATGGACATTTCGCCAAATAAAAGACTAATGAATCAAAGGCCAGATTTAAGCCTTTGTATTATTGGGATGGCTTGAGATAATGTCGCTGATTCTTTGCTTAGCTCTTTAGTAGCTTTTTGAAAATTGTCCAGAATATCAATAATTTGGCTCATAAGAGCCCATTGCCTTGGTGTGATTTCATGACGACAATTTGGTAGAGATGGTAAAACATCTTAAATCGCTATGCGTTGTTCATGTAATCTCTTCGACATCTGATATGTTGAGTCCCATCTAGTTTCAACATCTCGAAAAAAAAAGAAATTTCGGTATATTGTGAGCTTGTTGAGAATCTTTCAGTTGTTTTAAAAATATGTAAAATGTAATGTGTAAAATATGTAATAACTCCCTTGTCCTTGTGTAGCGCTCGTTGCGGCTTAGGGCCTACACACACGTAGTATTTTTTATGCACCGACGACTCGCGTTCGGTCTTCCAGTAATGCGGAGAAAAATATTCGTTTTTAAATATTCGTGATTAGTATTCGCCGAATACGAATATTCGGTAAATGTCTACTATTCGGCGAATACGAATATTCGTATTCGTATTCCTTGCATCACTACAAATTAGCACTAAGCACTCAAAATAAACATTATGTATAGGTAATCTTATAACTAGACTTATATACTTACAGTGAAAAATAAATTGTAGACAATGCAGATAGGTACAAAATAAATATAAAGAAGGTTAACTAAAAAACTCATGGGAAATAGTCCAAATAGGACTGCCAGTCGGGAAACACTAAGATGTTTCATCCTAGCCCTGGTTTTCAGTGGCAACCTTAAGTGCATTACAGACATACACACACACACACATATATATATATATATACATATATATATATATATATATATATATATATATATATATATATATATATTGTTATTATAGCAGTAATTGCAAAGTCAAAATACTGTAATATTAACAAGTTATAATATATATGTGTGTGTATGTATGTATGTTTGTGTATATATATATATATATATATATATTTATATATATATGTATATATATGTATATATGTTTATATTTACAGACCATAAATAAATTAGAGTAGATATTTAAAGGGAAAGTTGGAAGTTGATGAGAAAAGGAATGAGTATTCAAAAGAGTTGTTTTAATCGTATAAAAAAATATGGCATCAAAATTAAGCTACTTTAACACACCTGTTGCACTTCAGCAGTGGTTGACCTAAACAGTTCGATGTATCTCGCTCCGATCAGCTTGCGATGTCTTGAGAGAGCCTTTGGGGCGTCCTCCTCTTTTGAGAAGAGGACAAACGCATCACCCGTAGCTCTGCCGTCGGCCCTCCGTACAAATAGAACTCCTTCTAATCCATCCAACACTTGTACGGGATCGTCACCGGTCGAGAAGAAGTCCAACTGTCGAATTATAATAAAATATAATGACCACTCAATCAGTAAAATAAACTGTAAGGTTAAATTAAAATTTTTAAAGCTTGAATATTTTAATTTAAGCTATGCATTTTATTAATAAAGTCGGAAGGAGTTGATCGACAGATCAAGCTCATTGTAATAAGTCATACAACCGTAGCAACGTGTAAACATATACACATAATAATCTGTATATAATAACTTCAGAGGTTGGTGCTAGTACATGAGGAAATTACGAAGTCTTTTTACTTTGAAGTCGGATTTTCTTTTTATATTTTTTTCTTTAGTGTTGACTAAGGCTATCACGAGCTCGAATGTAGTCTAAATAATTATATTAACATCTTCATCTACTTTTCCATACTTAGGAATGGTGTTTTGTTGCAAACAATTACTCCGTGGCGCAGTGGCTTAGCGATGAGTTAAGGCGGTTAGGGCCGCCGTTTCGAATCCCGAACGGCATAAGTATTTATATGGCCTACAAGTAACTGTTCCGGGTAATGGTAAGTAGATGCTGCCGTTCGTAAACGTATAGCTATACATGATATGTATAGCTATTGTAGATAAAAATCAAAATGAAAATGCAATGTGACACTTGAGGTCTAAGATGAAAGGAAACACAGCAGCATTACGTTGCTATTTTACGCTGGTATTCTGTGAGAGCGTGGTCCTGCCCCGGTCGAGCGGACCCATACTAACGTGCGTTTGTAATATAGCTGCAACATGGCTCTATGACGCTCACGCAAGGCTTCGCATGGGTCATTTCTAGATCTCGACAACAACGCCACCCACCGGGTCCGATTGTAAATTTAAACCATTGCACCCACTCTAACACGCACGAAAAATTTCATCGAAATCGGTCAAACCATTTTCGAGTTTTTGCGCGACTAACGCACGGTAATTGATTTTTATATAAATAGATTTATAGTGAATGAAAAATATTGACTACATTTATCAGCGTAGCTTTATAGAAAGAGTTTTAAAATAATATTTAAGAGGATACCTCGAAAATGAATAGAAGTTTTGGGGGCGTGGCTTATTCCTTTGTCGGTGAAGCTAACGGACGACTGCGGGAGTGTCAAAATGAAAGTGATGCAATGACTTCATAGTACGCAAATTATGAGATAGCCATACCGAGCAAGCGCGCGGAAAAAAACTAAGAAAGCGCCAAACAACATTTTGATTTATTTTAACAAAACTTCGTTATGGATAAAAAAAACTGGTTTATGAGAACTTATATATGATTAATTACTATGCCTTAAAATAATTCCATGAACTGATTCGTAACAATATTATGGTGTCATCGAAAAATGTAACTAGTTAGAGCCTACTTTGCAATTTTTTCTATCGAGAAAATTACATGATATCGTGTTTTCCTTTTATGCAATCCAAGGTCATATAGTCAAAAATCATATACCAAAATTTAGGTTTGTAATCTATAAAACTTAAAAAAATATGTTAAATAGAAAAACCACAAAATTTTCGAGGTATCACCTTAATCACTTATATGTAATTAAGACACTTACAACTTGCTGTGGGGTTGCATCGTACGGCAGCCCCCGCATACGCACTATGACGTGCGCACCTCGCGACAGGAACGCGGCCGCTTCGCAAGTCGCACCTCCCGCGACCGAAAGAAAGTCTTCACCACTCGCCCGGTATACCTGGAAATTTATCACCCAATTATTTCTAGATGTTCCCAATGAATTTGATGAACACAGTGGAACTACTATTACGTTTATAGAAAACGCCGTCGTTTTTCGCCAACAATTCGACGACAGCTGATTACTGATAAAATGGGGTTAGCATTTGGAAAAAAAGGCATATTATAACGTAATACACATCATAAGTTAATTATTGGGTTTTTATGTCAACAAGTTAAGCAGCACGCAGACAGAAAGTTAGCGGCGTTTCACTCTCGTTATACACATAGTTTTCCTTCATCATCAAGCGCGTGGTAAATCGGAATTGGAAAATGCAACAATATTATTTTGAAGCCGTCGGTAATCGGACCCAAGTCGCTAACGTACTCTGAATTTTACGGCGAGTGCTTATCTCCTGAGCTACCACAGACTATCATTAAATCCTCCTTGGTAATCGAAGCAATATATTTATTATATTTTAAAAAGAAACCCGTTACAACACTGGGGCTATAATCAATGCGTAGCAAACTCAACCAGTCCATTCCTTACAAGCGGCATCTGTTTACAAATATGAAACTGTCAGAAGTCAAAGACATTTAAGTATGTAGTAATAATAGACCGGACATTAGCAACAAAATCTTCGTCTGTAACTTTTGTCCTATAGGATATATCTCCGATTTTTATCATTTAGTCTAAGTGACATCACCGAAAGGTCAAGACACATTCGTTTCATAAATTTAAAAAATATGCGCGCTTGTGCATTAAGGTATAGTAAGTCACGATATGAAGCAAAAATGTACATGATTTCGGTTTATTATCCTAATGAAAATGTATATTTATCAAATAATCTTTAAATTTTATTATTTCTGGTAGATTGTCTAGAACTAGAAGAAAGAAAAATTATTGTAATAAGTGTCCTCTGTTATCCAGTAACGTAACTATTTATTTACAAATATGTTAGTAATTGACGACGTACCTAAAACCGATTTTTACCTTATATTTAGAAGCGTCACTTAATATGAAATAATAATGTTATTCTAAAATGTTTTCCAAATAAATATTCAGCGTAGTATTAATATTTTAAGCTAGAGAGCTTAACCTACGCGCGTATTCACAGTTTTTGAATGCAAATGTTCCCAATGTAGGTACGCTATATAGTATAAATATTTATAATTAAATCTTTGTCACAAGTGTACGCCACTGCAACAGTATCTTTTGACGAGCACGACATAATCAAATTCAGCCAATACCGAAATCACTGCAAAATAAGTACGAAATTAACGCGTTGGATGTTCTACCACATATATTTTATTCAATTTAATTATTTGATACATTTTACTACGACGGAAAGTAGCAGCTGGAAGCCATATTGCAATTATACTATTAGTGCAAAGTGTGCCTCACCTCAATGTACCGCGGGCCGATGTGGTGCTTGTGGCGTTTGAGCGCCATATCCCTGTGTTCCTGCGACACGAAACGCACCAGCGCTTCACCGTTGCGTCTCCCCTGCGGCGACAGGCACAGCGCTACGCCGCCTCTGATGGTACAAATAGGATAAATTAGTTTTTTTTATATCACACAGTCCACCTGATGGTAAGTGGTTGCTGTGGCCCATAGACATCTACATCTATCCTCGATTACGAATCAAAATGCAGATGCGTTGTCACCCGTGATGACTTAGATGGAACGCCTCGTTTCCAGTAAAAAGGGTTTCCGGTTCTCTACACTCATCATACCAAACACAGCAGCATTAAGCTACTATTTGACGTTGGTATTCTGTGAGACCGTGGTGCTTCCCCGGTCAAGCCGACACATTCGTGATACAACTATACTACTAATATAACTACAGCATGACTCTTACCACGTAAAATTTCAAAATTTAAAAAAAAATAGAAATATAACCTTCATAGTCGTCTCATTCCTGAGAAAGCATTAGAGCAAGGAAGAGTTGACCGTGCTGTCCCAATACGTATTGGTCGACTTCACATGTCCTTAAAATTATTTTCAACTTTAACTTTCTTTACCCTGTTTACATACGTCTTTTTATACCTGGTTAAGCCACGTTGCAATTATATTCGATCGAGCGGATCGTCCGTGGAAGGACTACGCTCTCACAAAATACTTCTTACTGTTTCGTATGTTGAGTGCAGATAACTGGAGATCTTTTCTGGAAATGAGGAATTCCATTTTATTCCTCAAGGATGACACATCGCATCTGCATTTTGATTCATAATTGAGGATAGATGTAAATTTCCAAGAACCATAGCACCCAATTCCATCAGGTGAAATGTGTGCTAGTTTTTCAAATTACAGTCTATTGGTCTAAGAGCTAGTGAGCGGTAGACTTACGGTATTTAAATAAGCTTCATGTTTTTTTTTTCGGTTAATCCCCTATACATTAGGTACATGAAATGGGGACTAGATTGACCGGCGGTTGATATAGACGCTCAAGTGAAAGGTGTAAAAAAATGACCGAAAAAACCTAAAAGTAAATAAGTCTGCCGTTTTGACATCTTAAAATATTCAATAAAAGTTAACGAAAAATAACAGTGGCAACACCTATGGCGGTTTCAAGGTCATGGCAGATAGGTTGACAAGTACATTTTTTTAATTTACGTTATTGATAATATTATTTGACTTGGTCCCTTCTTTCCTTCCTTTCCTGGGGGGAAACCTTTAGATATTGGTGGTTGAAGTTTACTTTACTTGGGTGGTTCATTGATTCCAAGGCCAAAGCAACTGCAAAAAAGTTCGACGATACTGCACGCCGGAAAGGATGCTACTGCTATGTAAAACGCACGTACGGTCGTGGATGAAGTATTGCTGTAATATATGGGATGTTACTGCGAAATGCAACCTAACAGCATTGGGCTCAATGGATAGGCGTGCATGGAGGTTGATTGGTGACAATAATATAAAGGTTAAAATCTATCCTACCAGTTCCAAGCACAGCCACAAAGTGGTCAACCTTTCAGTGTTTTACGGGATACATTTCGGAGGATATGAGCAGGAATCGCATGACTTTAGTCCCCTTTCCGTGCCAACATTGAACCCCAGACCCTCGGCGGGCCTCCGCCTTTTTTATCGACATAACACACATTCGATTTTTAATAGCTTCCTTCGTCGTTCGTTTCCTCGTTTGTAATGTGTAAAGCAAACGAGTGGAATCATTTGTTATCTCTCTCTGCTGAAAAGATTGTTAACTACCGACTCACCCATTTTCTTGAACATCATAAACTCCTGTATGTTAGAAGAAGAAGAAGGTTCAGATATAGTAAGTCAACTGAGGATGCTGTTGGAGATATGGTCCAGCTTGTTTCCTCCTTTTTAGACACAAGGCAGGTCTTCTTAGACCAAGCGAAAACTTTTGACACGGTATCTGTCCCTATTTTGTTGGCAAAGCTGGATAGCTTCGGAATCAGAGGTATAGACCTCGACTGGTTCCAAATTTATCTAACTAATAAGAAGCAATGTACAAAGATTGGTTATTTAATAAGTTCCACTAGGAAGGTAACGTTCGGTATCCCTCAAGGCAGCATCCTGGGCCCTATACCCTCTTCATGATGTACCCAATGACATATCTACTCTTCAAATTAAAAAATTAGAACTATTATGCTGAGCAGACGATACAACGATCATTTTTCATGAGAACACTTGAAGCGATGGTTTCGCATCGGCGGAAATAGTTAGGTTTAAATATGCGGTTTGGCTGCGCAGAAATTTGCCGACTTTTATTATAGCAAATAAAAATACACGTGTTTTCATCAAATATCAGCATCAAAACCATCATCGTCTGCAAGCCTAACTATCCATCATTGTAATACGTTCTCGTTTGCAAGTTGTTTGCAATTACAGCTTGTTCGTGTATAGAATTAGCTAAAGCAACAAAGTACTTAGGTATGGCACTAGATCATTGTCCGATAAATTCTTATATTTACGTGAACACTACACATTTAAATAATACTAGTTTTTACGGATTTCCTCGCGTATATTTAACTATAAATACCGATGACGAAAAACAAGCTGGACGAATAATTGACGCTCCGGGACGTCTGCAGTCTGTGAACACGTACAGGATCGCCCCCGTCACTACATCAGATTTGGTAAACCACAAATCCTCGCTAAAGAACACCGATTCATTCCAAGAATGATTCGCGAGGCTATTGAATCAAAAAAGATCCTAATTTCAATAGAAAAGATGGCTGGTTGCTACCATCTGCTTGGGATCCTATGATAAATTAAATTAAATCCCAACCCAAGCATACAACTGCAAGGCTTCAAGATACCTTAAGTTCATACGTAGATCAGAACAAAAGTTAAATTTTATTCTATGGTAACCGCTGGACATCTGGACGTTGAACATCTCAATCCCCCCGTGACCATGGGTGCTGTAAAGCGCTCGAAACGTCGGGTATTTATAGTTAAATATACGCGATAAAATCCGCAAAAACTAGTATTATTTAAACATTGTCCGATATTTAAGAATCGCATCCATGCACTTTCCGGGAGAGTAAGAAAAATTATTCAAATAATGAAACTTCTTCGAAACTCTGCAGATATCAACCTACTAAAGAGTGTTTTATGTCGCGATTTGTTAATCCATATTGTATATTGATATGGGGCTGATCAAGTAAAACGTTGATACTAGACGTTGAAAGAGCTCAACGTTCCGTTATAAAGGTGATATTTAAAAGGAAGTACAGATATCTAACTAATATGCTATACTTGGAGTCAAAATTGCTGAGTGTCCGTAGACTGTTTTTGCAAAGGGTTGTACTTAAAGCAAGGTTTAGACGAAGCCAGTGCTGGCTGCCAGTTTAACTAGAAGCCAGCGCTGGCTTGTAATTGGCCTCGTTTAAACAGTTTTTCAAGACAAGCCAGCGCAGGCTGCCAGTACTGGCGGGAATAGAGCGCCTGCCTATTTTTCAAGGCAGTGACCTCAGCCCGCGTGCCCCGCAATCCTCGCGCCAGAATAAATAATATATAATATAAAATATTTACTGGTGATATTGTACAAATTCCTATATTTGATGTATGTGCTTGATAAACATTATTTTTCAGTTAAAGTTTAAAGAATCATTAATTTAATGCAACGATTTACAAGAATAATCTAGGAATGAAATGAATCCATTTGGCGTCATCTAAACAACATGGGCCAGGCCAAGCGCTGGCGTGTCTGAGGACTGCCGCCAGCGTTACTGGCTTCGTCTAAACCTTGCTTAAGGTTCATAAAAAATTTAACTTTTACTTAACTCATCCAAGTATTTCGAAATCATTAAGAACTGAACCCACAAAACACCTATTAAGAAGGTAAACACAGTCTGAAAATGAAGAATCAAGACTACCTACTTCAAAAATTGTGTGTTTACTCTGCATTTGAAAATATATAAATTTTGTATTTGTATTTGTATATTTATTAGTGCAGTTTATTTTAAAGCGGGTGTAATATCTGTCTCTCTTACACATAATGATACGTCACTATATTTAAAGTACAATAACTTACTTGGCGACATTTAGGCCTCTAAAGAACTTTGCGATATCCTGGTCCGACGACTGCCAAGGTAATCCACGGGCTCTGACAATGCAGTTACCGTCTATCTCATCGTCTTTTGAGCTGTAACAACGGAAGCACAGTAGTTAAATATATGACAACGTGTGGACCACAGAAATCGTTATTGTTACTATTTATGTGGTGTATATGGTGTGTAATGAAGATAAGATTGAAGACAGGGTTAGGATACAGTGTCAGGGTTTTCGTGTCATTTGCTTCACTCACTATTACGTTCTACTAGTGTATCCTCCCTAGTCGTGCCAACCTTTACTTGCTGCAGCTTTTTTTCATGTCATATCTCAAACAATGTTTACGTTTATTATCTTGCAGGAAGTATATACATATCAAGGCCAACGCTAAGACGACGTTGTACACATTCCTATTAATTTGATAACTTAGTTATCGACGTCCAACGTAATTGGATGATCGGTACCAACAATAATAAACTGTTACGTCATTTATACGTATTTGCTGCGTTTAGTTGCGTTTCTAATCTTGGGCTATTTCCATTTTGAATTAAATTACATAGCGTCACGCCTGCAACTGTCAAAATGGTGGGCAGAGTGCAAAGTGCGGCGCGGAAAATAGCGCCAGGAGTTACAGGTGTTACTACCCTACTGTTGTACGCCCCTACAAGAAGAAGTCATCGAGTCGGACCCTGTAGGGGCTGTCGCCGTCGGGACTGCGGTAGTGTGCTAAAGCGTTCCCGCAGCCCTGACTAATGGTGAAGAGATGAACACAGTGGGGTTTTAGCTGGTAGGAGTCCGGCATAACCTGTCTGACGCCTACGCGACTGACGGGTATCCATTAGGATTTCCCCACGTGAAAAAAGAGTAACAGGTGGCAAGCCCATCAATTAAACAACCATTAACCCAATAACCGACTTTTACGATATACTAGGCAAACAGAACAATTGGCACATTCCATTTTGTATATGTCCCACATAAAATGGGACCTATATGTCCTAGACTAATATGGAATAGCATGGGATTTGAGTTATATTACATTTCATATACTCCCTTAGATTTTATTTTGTTTAAAATATATTTCTGTATATATATAAGATGTTTAATGAACTCGTGAGTTGTTGACAACTACCATAATGTATTGGAAGACTGCCATAAATTGGTCCTGGGCTACCAATATCTATCGACTTCCTGCATGTTCGTAACATATAATATATATAATAAAATATTCATACATAGTAAGACATAGACTTGTCCCTTCAAAGAACAAATGAAGATTGTAGATTTCAAGATAACGTGAAGATAATCGAACAAAATTTGGTCTCTAGTTTCTCCAGACTAACCTCATAAGTAGTGAATCCTTAAGTTGACAGCGAAATTGTCATTCATAATTATCGCTAGCTCGCTCGCTCTACTCCACCGGGTCAGCAATCCATTTTTGGGGCAATGTATACGCTTTTACAACTAAATCCCAGAAAATATATAAAATTTGATATATAAGTACGCAAATTTCAAAAACTTTATTAAACTAAGTTTGTCTAAAAAGGGTTATTATAATATTAAGGAATTTAGGGATAATAATAACCCTTGGGAAGGGTGATCGCTACCAAGCTATTTCCAATTTGTTTTGTGTTGTTAATAGTAACATACATGATTGTAAGCTATTATTTGAAAAAAAAAATGCCGCGCTGGGTTTCTTGCTGGTTCTTCCCAGGACAGAGGTTTTTTTTTGCGAACCAGTGGTAAGTGAAAAGTGACTTTCAATAAGTATTGTCTATAATCTATATTAAATAAATAAGTTTCTGTTTCTGCTACAAATCATTACGTATTAAAAGCAGCTCGTTACTTTACATAAATATTACTTTTTTATATTTACCATGGCTTAGAGATACGTTATTATTACCATTAATGTATCACATAATCGTGGAAAGGTTGTAAATTGTAAGCATTGCAACATCATGTAAAAGCTATAAAAATACCGTGAGGGGACTATGCACCAGTAGGTACACAGCAGCACGTACACGTGTTTTGTTCTTGATAAGACATATTCGTGCCATTTGCTGTAGGACCATCGGTCAGTGAAGTTCAAGTGGGGTGAAGTTCCTAAAGGAACGATATCGTTCTTTTCAGCTCAAAGTACCTGTACTATCGTACGTGGTAGACGTATGTTATGGTTGTAGCACGAATGGGTCGGCTCGACCGGGGAAGGACCACGTTCTCACAGATTACCAGCGTAAAATAGCAGCTTATTACTGCTGTGTTTTGTATCCGAGAAATCCGGAGATCCTTTTTTACTGGAAATGAGGCATTCCATCTTAATCTTCACGGCTAACAACGCGTTTTGATTCTGAATCGAGAATAAATGTCTATGGGCCACAGCAGCCACTTACAATCAGGTGGACTGTGTGCACGTTTGTCAACCTAACTCTATAAAATAAAAATAAAAAGATGGCTAATCTCCGATATCATTATTTGGGCAAATCTCTCTACAAGTGTAGGGCGAGGCGACGAAAGTTATGTAGAAATTATATGAAATATTTGTAAAAATTATTATTTCCGGGGTATGAAGTTAAAGACGAAATTAGTTTATTGCAAAGACGTTTGTAACTTTAAAGGCTACCTATACACGTCAGCACACATCCTCTAATTTGCGACAGAATTATAGCGTAGCGAGCAGAAAGAACCTTGTCACACTGCTTTCCAACACGTACGTATATATGTATTTAAGGATATAGTAATAGTTTCGTTCAGCTGTTTTTATGTACTAAGATGCCTATTAGTATGTCTTCCCTTTTCTAACTGATGATTCGTTTCATAACAGTAACGCAAGCGGGCCTTTTTACAGTCAATACGTAGTGAACCGAGCACTGACCAAACCTTACATGAAATTTACTCATGCCTCTTTCAAGAAGCATGAATTTTACACGTTGAACTGACTGACGACTTTGTTAATAACATTAATAGTATATAATACTATTATACATTAAAAGAAATTGAAGATTTAGTGTATATATATTATATATATATATGATATTCTCGTTTTGTCTACTATCTATTGATAGCCGCGGTAGCTCAGTTGTTAAGCGCTCGCTGTAAATTTCGTAGTATGCAAGCAACCCGGGTTCGATACCCGCCGGCACGAATGAAATTGTTGATTGAAATTTTAAGTGCTGATTTATCGCGTGCTCGGCGGTGAAGGAAAACTTCGTAAGAAAACCTGCGTGTCTGAGAAATAAGAAAAAAATATAAGTGGTAAGAAATAAAATAAAAATTCGAAGACATGTGAAGTTCGCCAACACGCATTGGGGAAGTGCGGTGGACATTTCCTTGGCGTAAAACCCTTTCAAAAATGAGAGGAGGCCTGTGCCCAGCAGTGGGCTGTATGTAACTTTACTTTTACTATGACTGAACCCAAATAGTTAAAAGTCAAAAGGACACAATGTTACTTTTTATGTTGCGTTATCGGAACAGAATGTAACGTCTTAGAAAAGTTCCATTGAGGTCACTTAGTGGATACTTAGTGATAACTGATAACGCAATCAACGCTTATTAGAATCAATCTATTTATTCTTATTAATGGATTGTGTACATAAATACAGCATATAAGGGCCCCAGTGTAGAGCGGGTAGTGAGGAGAGGTGTTTTGCGTGGCCAGTGTTGTCGTCTGCAAGGACTGCTTGGGTCCTGCAGGTCTCGGGCCTCGGGGTATGCCCCCATTACCCGGGTTGTCCTCGCGGTCCATTACTATGGACCGGTCTGGGGAGCCTTTTCAGGCGTTGTAGATGTTAGGCGGATTTGTCCGCAGTCGGTAGAAACTTTTTTCCGTAGTCGGTTAACTACGGAAAAAAGGAGGTTATCCGGTAAAAGTCGAGGTTGGCCTATCAGCGGCATTGTGGGTTGTTACTCGACTCTCTAATCGATATAGAGAGGAGTTCTCTTGGATAGGGTCGCCCGTCCGGTAGGCGAGTGTGTAGCGGCGCTAAGTTGTTATGGTGTAAGTGTGGCCCGTTGTCTGCGCGGTCGAACAGTCCGCGTGCCAACTGGGCCACAAAGTCCTGAATAGTTTCCATCTTGAGGTTGGTCGCTATGACGTCATTCCGTACGTAGCGACCCGCACCGACAATGGTTCTTAACGTCAAATTTTGCTGGGCGTGCAGTCGCCGCCTCAGAGGCTCGCTCAGAAGCGCGTACCTCGCCGGAGCAGCGTACGTGATGATGGGGCTTATGTACATCTTATAGATCTTCACTTTATTCTTAAGTGGTAACTTGGATGCCAGGACCGGACGGAGCATCGCCCGCGCACATCTGGCTCTGCGGATGACGAAGTCGACGTGCGCAGTCATGCGCAGCGCCCGGTCGATCCGGCACCCAAGGTAGGTCACGGCCTTCTCGTACGCGATCTTCTGGCCATTGAGGGTTAGCGGAGGTGGTAGGTTCCTGAGGCGGCGAGTGAGCAGAGCGGTCGTCTTACCAACGTTGACGACCATCCTCCACTCATCTAGCCATGGTGGCAACAGGTCCAGCAGACGTTGCACCCTTGCAGTGGCTATGTGGGCTCCTCTGGACGAGGTGAAGTAGGCGCTATCGTCCGCATATAACGCCAATTCCACGTCGTCCTCCCACTCTTGCAGCCTTCCTGCCAGTGTAGGAATGTCATTAGTGTACGCCACGTACAGGACTGGAGACAAACAGCTGCCCTGTGGAACGCCGGCTCTGATGGTTCTTGTTGCGGACTCGGCGTCCTCTACGTAGACGTAGAACTTCCTGTCTGCCAGGAAAGACGCCACTAGCCGCAACATAGCAGGAGTGACACTGGTCTGTTCTTCCAATTTGTAATGTAGTCCAGAATTCCACACCCTGTCGAACGCCTTCTCGATATCGAGATAGACGCCCAATGATGTGCGGCTACGGTTGTATTCGGCCGCAAGCAGGTGCAGCACTCTGGTCAGCTGTGTTGCTGTTGAGTGATCCCTCCTGAATCCGTGCTGCTCCGCCCGAAGTTGGATGCACGAACGGAGGCGTCTTAGCAACAATCTTTCTAGCAGTTTAGCTATGTGCGCTAGCAGCGTGATCAGCCTGTAGCTGGTAGCTCTACGC